AAATAGCCTATGCATCACATTCTCGGGTCAATACCTACGTTATAACGGAGCTACGATATACAGATGATGTGGAAAGAGTCAAAGGAGAACGTCAATTGTGGTGCGCATGGGCGCTACTCGCATTCAATGCCGTCTAATGTTATCTACTGCCATATCAGTCGGGCCTTAGTTTGGGTAAAATTCTCTAATACTTGCTAATACACAAAGGATTGGGGCAACTATGTATGATTTAGCATTCGCCGTCGAGCCGTCCACTTTCTGCCCAGGCAGCCATTTGCTCCAGGTCTCCCGTCACTTGAGCCCCATTCCACCGCACAGAAAGACCCTTCTTTACGTGTTCAAGCATACTCTGCATTAAACCGATGCTTAGTTCGGGAAAATTGTTCTGTCCCAAACGTAGATCGACAACTGAAAAAAAAGGGCTTGCAACATGCCTACATTGATAGGCTACCTAATGAACTCCTACTTTCGATTTTCATCCAGTTTTGGGCTCTGGACTATGGAAGTCCCCTTATTTTCTTGCAAGTATGTCAAGGCTGGCACGCACTTGCACAAAGTTCGAAGATCCTTTGGACCAAGATCTACTGTGGAGACTACTGGGCCCAAGATGAAATGCTTTCGTATGTTAAATGTCCCACCCCCGAAGCACTCCAAAAACACCTTTCACGCATTGACGGGGTGAAGTTTGAGCTCTACCTATACAAGTATTTGAGATATACAGAGGCTGAAAAATGGGCCTCGATATTGCGAACGTCCCTTCAAAACTGCCACAAGATTTGTTCCAAGTTGAATGCGGAACATTTGGACCCTGATTTCTACAGCTTCGTTGGTCTAGGCTCGAATCGACTTATAGATCAGTTATTAGAGGAGATTAGTCGATTATCTGGGGATCCAGAGGGTCCAGGGACCTATTTGCGCACTTTGGTCTATACCTGGCGTTTTCCTCCAGAGCTTTACGGTCTATCGGCAATATGGAATCAATTACACGTCCTTTATCTTGAAGGGTCCCGTTTTTCATGGGACGAGGGAGCTCAATTTTTTTTCTCTAGCTTGCACAATCTTCGCGAACTCTTATTGGACGGTATAGGGACTGCGTTTAGCCCAGGAGGCAAAGCTCTTAGGTTGGGAAAAGTCCCTGGATTGAATATGGATATTGGTTCCCGTGCCTACGAAAGCTTACTCTATGCCATGTCGGTTTGGGGTGCTTTTCTGACATGAGTTATCGTAATCTAGTAGAGCTGTCGTATACCACTCAAGCCCATGGCGAACTAGTTGACTGTGACAAAGTATTGACCTTGCCAAATCTACGCAGGCTCTCCGTCATGGTTTATTGGCCGTTAATCCTTTCCATTGATGCGCCAAATATTGAGGAGGTCGAAATGAGGGGAGGTCGTTTGGTTGATGTTCACATCTTCACGCAAATGACGCTAAAGCCTCAGTTACTCTATCTTCATATTGATCAGCATACCGAACAAGCATTGTTTGAGCGAGCCTTGGATAGGCTTTCGATCCTGACGCTTGTTGATCTACGTTTGGAACAGGACAATGTTCCTAAAGTAGGCACCGGCCTAATGCAAGGGGTGCTTGAGAACGTGAAGAGAGGTATTTCTGTACGATGGAATGGGGTTCAGGTGACGGGGAGTTTGGAACAAATAGCTACATGGGCGAAAAGTGGACAGCTCAATGTCGAATGCTAAATCTTTCATAGTTACACCAGTCCTTTATTCATTAGGGAATAGTAGAAAATTTTACCCAAACAAGGACCTTATTGGTATGGTAGTAACTGATATTAGACCATATTGAATGTGATTAGCGCCCATGGGCGCCTCAATTGGCGTTCTCCTTTGACTCTTTCCACATCGTCTATATATCATAGCTCCGGTATCAGGTAGGTATTAATCTGAAATGTGATACATGTGTCATTTCTGATATTGATACTGTTTTGATCGGCTTTCATCTGCTCAGAAATAGATGGGCAAGACGCGACAACTAAAGAAAGGGGGTTCTCGGCATAGCTACATTAATAAGCTACCTAACGAGCTGCTTCTCTCCATTTTCATCCAATTCTGGGCCTTGGATTATGGCAGTCCCTATATTTTCTTCCAAGTGTGTCGAGGCTGGCATGCACTCGCACAAAGCACGAAGATCTTTTGGACAAAGATCTACTGTGGAAGCTCCTGGACCCGAAATGAAATGCGGTCATATGTTCATTGTCCCACCCCGGAAGCACTCCAGAAACATCTTGCGCGCATTGATGGCATGAAGTTTGAGCTCTACCTCCACAAACATTTGAAACTTGAACAGGTTGATAAATGGATTTCGACATTGCAGAGGTCCCTTCAAAATTGCTACAAGCTTCGTTCCGGGTTGAATGCAAATTGGGTGGCTACATTAGCCTCCACTCGACTTATAGGCGAGTTAATAAAGAGGATTGCTCGATTATCTGAGGATAAAGGGTGTCGAGGAGCGTTCTTGCACACTCTTGTCTATACGCGTCCTTTCCCTGCACAGTTTTACAATCTTTCTGCAATATGGAATCAAGTACGCGTTCTTTATCTTGAAAATAGCTTTCTTTTATGGAACGAGGGGACTCAAAATCTGTTTTCCAGCCTACATAATCTTCAAGAACTCTCATTGTATGATATATCGCATGGATTTAGGCCCAAAAGCGAAGGTCCTGGGTGGCGGGAAGTCCCTGCACTGAATATGAACATCAATTCCCGGTGCCTAGAGAAGTTAACTCTATGTCATGTCGGTTTCGAGTGCTTTTACGACAGGAGCTATCTCAATCTGGTAGAGCTGTCGTATACCACTCGTCACCGTGGAACCGTGGTTCTTCGTGACCGAGCTTTGACCCTATCGAATCTACGTATACTTTCCGTCACGGCCTATTGGCCGTTGATACGTTCCATCAACGCGCCAAATATTGAGGTGGTCAAAATGAGAGGAGGTCATATGGTCCATCTTGAGGACATTTGCATGTTCAAGCTACGACCTCAGGTCCTCTACATACACATCAAGAAATCTACCGATCAGGCTTTCTTTAAACATGCCTTGAATGCACTTTCGATCCCAAGCCTTATCGATTTACGTTTGGAACAGGACAATTTTCCTAAACTGGATATCGATTTACTGCAAAGGATGCTTGGACACGTGAAGAGGGGACTTTCTGTGCGGTGGAATGGGGCCCAGGTGACGGGAAACCTGGAGCAAATGGCTACCTGGACGGAAAGTGGACGGCTCGAAGGGGAAAGTTAAATTGTCGTGTGGAACTAGGTTTCATTTTAGGCCGTCAAGGGTCAGGAACATGCTTTCGGTATCCATGATTAAATTGAATGTAATGTAGCCAGTGGTAACAATACAAGTACACGTGCTCTATGTGATATGTATCTCTCGCCAACTTTTCTCCACCAAATTCCTGATATGGCAGAGAAGAAAAATGAACAAGAGGGGGAATACAGGGTGAGAAAGTGCTCATAGTGCTAGTCGCATCCACAAGCCTCCTTCGATAAACATGGTCAAGTGGCTTTTCGGCCAGACCTTTTCGATCGCGCGGCGCGGACTGACACCCGTGGGCGTCTCGGAGGGTAACCACGCATCCTCGGCCTTTCCACCAGACTCTCCGTTCGACGGAGAAAGAAGGGGTTGCCTTTCCTCGTTGTCGATGGGAGACGACGACTTTTCGTACGCTTGACCACCTTCGAGGTCCGTATTCCACGAGTCAGAGGAGGAGGAGGAAGATTGCCACGCTTTTCCTTCTTCTTTCCAGCTAGGAGGAACCCTGGCATTGAGAGGAATCGCGTCTTCATCCAATTGCACCATCGCGTCCCAACCCATTCCGCCAACTTTCTTATCTGCCTTTTCACCCGTGTAGAAAGGAGATGCTACGTCTTGCATGGCTTTGGACTCTTGTAATCGCTGTACGAGGCGAACGAGCCACACTCCGACTTCTGCAATGGCGAGTTGTTGACCGAGACAGCTGCGTGGGCCAGCGTTGAACGGCATAAAGACATAGGGTGTCTTGGCATAGTATTGCATATAGCGGGGATCTTCGGGGAGGAACCGGGCGGGATCAAACTGTGCGGCAGTAGGTCCCCATAGGCGAGGCGAGCGGTGAATATGCAAGAGAGAATAAGTAATACTAGAAGTCAAGGTTTAGAATGTTTGATTTACTCAAAAAGTGATGGGAATTACCTGGTGCCGGCGGGGAGATACCACCGCTTTCCACTTCCATCACTCGCAGTCCATACGCGCTCATGTACATTATCACGGACATTCAACGGTACACTCGGGAACAATCGGAGCGTCTCGTTGATGACTGCGCGGAGGAATGGCATCTTG